TTATCAAGATACGTTAACTAGAGCGCACACTTAACATGCTACCGAACAGAATCGTAAGTACAGGGCTGTTTTGCTCTCTATCACAGTATTCCTGTCGTTGCGCGACGAAGATATGTTGGGTATTGCCAGCGCTTACTCCGTAGTTTGCGAAGATTCCATATTTAAGACATTCTTATTAGGTGAATATTATTAGCGGTGCACGGTTAAAGCATGAATTTGTGCATTTGTGACCAAACTACTTTATGATTCACTTTCAGGCAGTTGTCGCTAAATGTCAAATTGCAGGGGATTCAAACCGTTTATATGTGTCGTTTTGAGGCTGTAAACTGACAAATTCATCGCTCACGCAGTTTTTATTATTAATATTAGCATTATTTACGAATGACCTATCGGTACATAATCATTGTGAAAAAACCATTCCAAGCCAATTCAGAAATGCTATTATATACAGGTTTAAACAGTTTCTGCATAATATTCGCCATGTTTAAACAGGTTCTTTGGAATTTAGGAGGATATTAAGCTGATTCTAGAGAAAAAAGAAAAGTGGGGAACGAAACGTGAAATATGCGAATAATTGAACAAACGTATTTATGAAGCAAAATAAGAATAAACATTCATATATGCGTGACGGAAAGAACATGCTGAGCAACCTATCATGACATTTTATTTGATAGTATTGTAATTTACCTGTTGGTTCTAAATCTTTTGTATTTTAACCTTTATTCGGGTCTATTTTAACAGTACCTTATGTTCTTTGGTTTTCCTCGTCTGAGCTTCTACTATTTGGCCTTGCGACATGTCGCAGTCTACAGTTACAACTTAGGTAACTCCTCTCTAGTAGTATCCCAAGTCGAAACAGTTTTAGGAGTCCTGGTGCCCTACGATTTAAAGTCTTACGCTAACTGTGACAAAAATGCCTTCCGAGCAAACCTTGCACTGGTAACGTTGAAGCGCATTTTTGGCCAATCTGATGGAAGAACTTCCTATATAATATTCAATAGTTTTATCCGTCCCCATTTAGAGCACGGAAACATAGTATTTCCCCCCTCACTCCAAAAGGATAAAGACACTCTGGAGCGTATCTAACGGCGAGCCACGAAATCAGTTCGAGGACTCATATATAAACCTTACGAAGAGATCCTCCATTCACTTGACCTTTACCCATTAGAGTATAGACGTCTTAGAGGTGACCTTCTGATAGCTTATAGTATCTTTAACACTTCTAGACATCCTCTCAAACACCTACTCAAGCTTAGTTCCAACACTAACCTAAGGGGTAACACCCAAAAACTGGAGACACAACATAGCAGAACGGACTGTAGATACAACTTCTACTCCTCAAGAGTTGTCAAATGCTGGAATGCGCTGCCGGCCGAGCTAGTACAAGCGACTTCCCTGGAGTCCTTTAAGAGGCAACTTGATGATCTATTCTTAAGGTCTAAGGATAGTATCATACTATGATTTATTAATTTCCGTTTCCTCTTTTATCGTTAACAAATCCATGTTCTTGCCTGGAGGTAGTGGTGATCCCCTGTTATCAGACACGTAAGCCTGTTAAGCGAAAGCTTCCTCTATTCCGTCCACAACCATTTGAACCATTTTAAAGACATGTCTTTTGTTACTTAATTTCACTGTCGCATTGCTGCCGAACCACTGACGATAATATCGTGTTTCCCCAAACTCAGCGTAACGCCGTGGTCCAGTGTATGACTGTTAACCTCCGACTGTCTGCTTGGAAAGGTCGCAGAAATCACAAGAGATAGATCTCTGATCACATATTGTTAGGACTATGTTTACTGATTACCAGGTATCAAGCTCTTGTTTATTAACTATTTTTTTGTTTCATTGCACGTTGGTTTGTGCTGGATAAACCCTTGACTGTATAGCACAGGCTGTACCATTCGAGGTATTTTGTACTTTAGAACTGTTGTGTTTTTCCCCAAATTAGAACTGCCTAAATTGAGCACATAGTTTGTCTTTTTATGTAACTTAATACGAGTCACACAAGAACGCTTCGTACATTATGCAGAGGTACGTACTCTGGCCCAACCGAATAAGCTTTGATTCGTTAGTTCTGAGTTTTAACCGAATATTGGGATTTTGGTCGTTACAATTTGTGTGAGAAAATGAATTAAAAAACAAATGAACATATAAATAAGAAAAATAAATCGTTAATGCGTTAAGATTTGACGGTAGAATCAGAGTATGTGCAGCAGCAGTTCATAATGATGCGGTGAAAGTCATATTTAATTGCATAGGATGGTGGAATATCAATTTATGAGATAAAATGAATTTCGAAAGTCAACTTGTTTAGGTGTAACACCAGGTAATTTGTTTTTAGTCACAAACTTTGGATGCTTGGGAGTAAACTTCGTGTTGAAGTAAAAGAGAGGGGGAAAGATGTGAGGAAAAGGATATTCATTTTGTCAATGTATCAATCATGACAACAATAATAACAATGATAAATGGTGTGAATGTAATCGAACTTCAGATGTTTAGATGAAAAGCAAGAGGACAAATAAAATAAAGGAACAAGCAAACAAAAATTAAAAGGTTTTACTTACATTCAGTTAGACAAACGTCGGACCTTGCTTGAATTGTTCCCTTATAATTACTTTCGGAAAGAAACCAATCAAGGGGAAATATTGATAGTCTGTTTCTCAGGACTGAATAGCAAATAACGAAGTTCTGGTGTACGTTTGTGTATGTTCTCGGAATCGATAGAACATTTCTTTTATTGCACAGGTTATAGCATGTCATGATAGAGTACGAAGTAGTGGATGCAGAAGAGTAGAAAGTACTTTTGATATCCCAGTAGACAAAGAAAAGGTTCAATTCGATGTACCTAATCCAGCAAGGCTCTGACTTTAGTTGTTGACACTTTTAGTGGTAATCCTTGTTGTCAGGATTCATAAAAACAGCTTTGGTAAATCTTTTTCGAACAACTCTAATTCTAATCAGATCATTATGTCTGTGATTACTGTAAACTAGAACACTATACTTAAAGATGGATGTGTGCATTTTTGTATTTAATGATAATCTCGATTCGATGTTATTCAAGCTTAAACAAATAAATTCCACGATTTTTCTCACTTTGGATGCTTGAGATGCAGTGTGCTCAGTAGGGTTCAAACCTTCGCTATACCTCAAACCAAAGCCAGGAAGTGTTTAGAGGTTTCAGTATGTGTTCGTGTATAGCCAGTTCTCGGTTTCGGCTGTGGCGGATTTCAATAAATCCACTGTAGTCAACATTCAGTGACAGATTCCACGACACATCCCATTTTTGTCGCTTATTTATGTTTTCTCGAATTACCGCTTAAATATAGCTTTGTATAGTAAGAGACGAGAATGAATAAACCACTTTTAGATCGTTAGTAGAAAGGAAACGTTTACTACGCTGATAGAGTGAGTACACGTCAACAGTGAAAAGTAGGAAGAGTAATGCGCCAATTACACTCCCTTTAATCAAACCACTGGCTATATTCACAGGCTAAGAATAGCAAGTCCTAAAGCTAACAATTTGGCCAAATTTTGCCATAAAGAACTTGAGCCATGACAAAAGGGGATTTCAGTATGCCGAATGACGAGAAAGGCTGTGTGAGGCACCGTCGAAGACCTGACTAATATGGGATTACAGAATTATCATTGATTGACTAGCATCTTTTCTCTGAGCAATTTTGTCGAAATATTCCAAGTGTGATGTGAAGCATGTTTAGTCATAAACCTATGTTGAACTAATTAGACTTGCAGAAAGAAAGAATGATAATGGCTGTGTGAGGATGATTTTTCCATGATTATTGATAACACAGAGGTCAAGTTGATGGGCCTATAGTTAGTAGTATCGCCACGCGGTCCCATTTTGAATCTAGGAGTGGTAAGCAACGTGCTATATAAGGATGGATAGGCCTCATAGTACATAAACTGGTTGAACATTTAAAAAAAATAATGAAAATTCTCTTCTACCATATTTTACGGGTGATGCCATCAGGTCTACCAGCATAAGACGTCTTGAGGACAGTTATGGTCTGCTTCGATGTTGGTGGATGTAAATTAAATTGCGGATAGATGCTAAGATGTCAGCAGTGGAAAGGTATTGATAAAAATTCAGATTTTTGTGTTTTAGCGTCTCGAGAAATGGATGGTGTGGTCGATTATGATGAATACGGTAGGTTTAAGAGTATTAGGTTTCACATAGGATTCGAAAGTCCAAATCTGAAACTCTTATCTTTTAAATATCAACTCATACATTTTTATTTCATAGGGTATGCATTTAACGACACTAAATGGAAGATTGTTTTCAAAAAACCAAGCCACAATTCATAATCCAGCTAGCTCATATGAATATGAAATTCCTGAATTCGAGTTCTCTGTCGTCCATAGACTTTATCAGCCAGACTTCTGTCATGAGGATCACATCAGACCTGACAGAATCTGTCTGTGGAACTAGCTGCGCTCAAAGTGGCTTCGACATTATTCGCTCCCGAAGGGTCACTACTGAAAAACGTACGTTCATGTCACCTTACTATTCATCATCTGATCTTAGCCCCATCCTACACAATGATGTCAAAGCCAAAGAAACCGGACATCATGAATAGTTGGACGCACAGTTATATTTTAGCTGAAAATAAATGTACTGCAGTGTACGCAATCTAGGCTAAGTAGTTATTGTTTGAGATTAAAAGTATAGGACATCCAAACCTAATCAAATACGATTGCTTGGACAAGAGCATCTAGCTAAGGCTATTTAGAGTAAAACAAATAGGGCGAGCGAAATTCCAGGGACTACGAAGCCATTTATTTAAATAGCATATTTAACACTACAGTATAAAAAGAAACAGTTTGACTTCGGGATTACCAAAATATTTAGTTTATTAGTAAGATCAGTGCTAAAAAGTCCAGTTTTTTCAACATGAAAATCACTTCGTAAACTACGTATACAAGAGTTCAGGTCTATTCTACACATTACATATTGCTAAATGAAACTGAGTCCGTTCGAAGTTCAAGTATTGGAGCAAGGATTTAAATCATAACAACCAGACTCTTGAGTGCCAAACAAGTCTTTGAAGTCATTAATGACTAAAGCTACCGGTAATCCGTAAATAAACGTAGGATTCATAATAAAGACAGGATTTGCATGATATTTTATTGAATGTTTTCTCCGTAAGAGTAGTTTCTACGGCGAGACTGTAATTTATGGACGAACCAATCACGTGTAGGATAACAGGTGTCGGATTTTGACGCGAAATTCACTCATCCATTTGAATAAATAGAGATTCGGTATTATAACTGATGTCACCTCCTGATGAGAACCCGAAATTTAGTTTCTAAGCTTAATTATCAATTGTAAATTATAATTCTAATGCCTCACACAGGGTCACAACCCTCATTTGGTCCTGGTTGTTAAGTAGACACTCAAGATCAGTCTAGCGTCGCTTAAAGGTCGTCCATAATTCATAGTCTTACCATTTCTACTCCTTGAGAGGTCAAATACCGGGGTTGGCTGCCGGCTGAGCTAATCCAAGAGACTTCTTTGGAGTTCTTTAAGGGAAAACGTGATATATTCTTAAGGGCTAAGGACAGCATCTTACTATGATTTACCAACTATTTATAGTTTTCCTCACACTTGGCTTAGTCACGTCTTTGTTAATACCGTGCTTATCCCTACGTAGACGTAAAAAATCTCTATAATGGAAAGCTAAAAGGTCAATGAGGTTCTTGGACGTAGAGTAAAGCATTGAAGTATGTTTATCAATAGGGTATATCGTAGAAGTGATGGAATTCCACAATTTTTGATGCAATTAAATCCGTTAATATTGACAGAAAATGATGTTGTAAAAGCTCGAGATTCATCGGAAGATTCTAGTAGTGTGTTCTTTACTAGCGATGGTAAATGACCAACCATCGATGATGATAGTGAAGACTTGTCGATTGATCCTCTGGTTATCGAGAAAGAAACTTTCTTATGATTACTTTACCACCTTAAACCAGTCAAGGCCAGTAATCCCGATGGTCTTGATCCCATGATTATGAAAACGCCGGCGGATGTGATTGTCGAACCTCTGACAATACTGCCTGATATGTCTTTGCGTTAGTCAAGACTCTCAAGGGATTAGAAAGGTGCGATCATCGGTCCAGTTTATAGAGCGGGTAGTATAGACTTAGTTAGTAACTAATCATCCGTTGTTCTAATCAATTTAGTTGTCAAGCGTGTGGAAAACATTATTTGAATGGCCATTCCAAACCATGTGAATGGGAATAATCTTTTACCCATAGAACTGTATGGTTTAGGGAAGGCATTTTACGCTTGGCAAATCTGCTCATTGCAAGGGAAACTTTGGTAGCATCAGGAGGTAAAAATGGTTCAGCAGATGTAATTTTCACAGATGTAAGTAAAGCTTTCGACAAGGTCTCTCATTTTGGCCTTGAGTTAAAACTAGATCGTTTCAAGACCCATTATAAAAATTATAAGCTGGATAAGTGACATTCTCAGTAAAAAAAGACGAAAGGTATGGGTGAATGGGGCCTCATCAACGTGGGAATCTGTAAAATGTGGAAGGTGCAATCCTTGTTCGTCTCCCTTTTCTACTTTATGTAAATGACCTATGAACTGTAGTAAAAGCATCTGTTCTACTCTCTGCAGATGACATAAATATTTGGAGACCAACACACAGTATGTTGAAATTGTGAACTGATTATTAATTGCCATATGTTTTTGAAGTATTTTGGGTAATTCCAAGATGTGTCAAACTAATTAAATCATAGGGACCTGTGAAAACAAAATATTGCCTGATGAGAATGATCTGGAGATGGTATTTAGAATGTGCTCACATAGGGTTATTGCTCACAAAGTGGATAATGTGTCCGTTCTTTAAGATTCGACCAATGGTCTCGTTACCACTCACTTTGCTTGGAATGATTAACTGGGGACACTTATTCATGAATATGTGATCAGGATTCCTTTTTATTTTAGCTTAACAATCACTGAACAGTTCTACATTGTTCAATTACTCCTTATAGGAGTTGTAAATCCTGGTTAATTATTTAATACGTATTTCTCAACATACAGAAAGCTTAGTAAAGGATGAACAGACCTCTTGTTAAAGTTTTTACAGCATCAACAGGTGGAAACTCCACTTATATTTTGCAACAGTTTCGGATATCTGAAGAACAATGTGATTCTTTACAACTTGATTGATGTACAGCATTATCTGTATTATTCTACTTCTGAGTTAGCAATTCTACTGAAATATAGTTACGGACTTGTCTTGATAATGTGCTACAACTCTAAAATGTTATCTCTTAACAAAGGTAGAGTTAAAACGCTTGGACACATTAACTTTTCGTTCTTGTGTTTAACTTTTAAGAAATACAGACTAGTTGGTTTTACGAGCTTTTTTGTTCAACATTCCAGTTGGCTTCCATGTTTCAACCGGTTTCTTATTAGTTGTATAATATAACTTGATTGAAATTGACACTACATATATGTTCAGCTAACTAATTCTTATAATCAACCGTTTTTTGTTACTTAGTTAAACATGTCCAATAACAAACTACTGGATAATGCAAATCGACTGTGGAAAATGTTAGACGAAATGTCTGAGAATGACCCAGTTTGCTACCAAAAATTTATTAACAGACAAATGGAGTCTTTTCACAAAACTATATCTCCACCTATCATAAGATTTGTTGTTAAACTTACTCAAAAAGTAAGTGAAGGTAATGAAATATATTGTTTGTTAATTTTTGAAGTTATTTTGAAGCCAAAGAGAATTGATTGAAAATAATGTTATTTGTTCATATATCACTATTTTGATACGATGAAGATTTTTAAACAGTTCGTTGTACATACATTTCCGAAATATTTCATAAATGCAAATCAGTGATAAGTGCTGTCATTTTACACTTTAATGTATTATTATGTCAACATTTACCGTAACCTTTTGATTTTTAAAAGCATGAGGAACTCCCTAGCTTTGCGCATACAATCAATACTTTGGATTTACTACTTGCCTGAAATACTTAAGTGTAACTCACGAACATTGTTCATGATCAGAGGCTTGTATGATTTATATGCTATCCACTACTATGTTTTAATGATATACTGTTAATAAGTTCAGTCAGGTGTAATTTGGATTGTAGCAATCATATCAGGCTTGTTTTACGGATACATATATCACAGATATTCTAACTTTGAAAGGCAGACATGTAATGAAAGATACTACGACTAAGCAAAGCATCGGGGTTCGGCAATACAGCTACTCAGACAGCAATAAAATGACTCCGTTTTTACAATGCACGTGAGAAATGCAGGAAGTGAATAAACACATACACAGCATGATGCAAACGCATAAAACATACTCAAATACACTTGTGAGTAATTGATAAATGCAAATATATTTGTAACAGATTCAGTGTAAAGATTAGAATAATTCATCTATGTAAAGGTTAGGATATTTGGAATTGATTCGTAACAATACTAATTGATTCAGGATGACCGAAGAGTCATTGCGAATGAAAGTAAACGAAAAAGACAGAGCATATGTTTCCCATTAATGCTTTAGAAATAACAATATACAATTTGTGATTAATAAACAGTAGGATAAATTTTTTACATTCAACTATATGTTGATTTATTTTATCGAAGAGTTATTCATAGAACGGTATACTTGTTTTTAACTTTTCTACTTGTCACTACTATATGTATTTTGCTTTACTATAAAAGTTCAAGATTGTCTATTTTCTAGATTCTATTTGATATTGTATGAAGTCCTAGAATTGAGCCTGAGAGTTACATCTTAATTGATTGGAGAGTGACCGAGTTGAGGTACTGATTCCTTCTAATCGTCTGCAACATTTTGTTATGTCCGTTTCATATTATTAATTTGTATTTAAGCATGTTACTCTATTACAAAGCAAAACCAACACTTTGGTCTCAATTCACTATGGGTTCTCGACTATAGTAAATTCTCGTGAGCAGCCATTACTCGGTTAAACTGTATCATTGTATTTCATCTATCGATCATCGTTATTTCTTTTGTTTTGGAAATCCATTCATAATCCGCACTAAATACAGTTTACTCCTTTCGAAGTTAATTGAATACTACTTATTATTTATGAGTACATTGAGTTGTATTTCAGTTATTTATTAGCCTCGCAAGCTGTAACAAGTACTATCAGTATGGTGAAATGAGCTTCTTATAATATTTTTCCATACTTTACTTTGATAATATATCCCCTATTCTCAAACTTTCAATTTCGTTGTGAGAACTAAAGAGTGCGAACTTCTTTCCTTTCAACAAGGTAGCTCGTATTGTTTTTTTCGTTAATTGCTAATATTCGCGTTTGACATGACTGCTTTGCTTTCTTGTGCAGAATACGTCTTGTAATTCTATAATTAGTTATTTATTTATAGACTAATCACTTTCTTTTTATTCATGAATTTGAAAGTGTGTCGAATATCTAAACTACTCACAATCTGAAGAATAACATGGATAATATTTACTCGACTAACGAACTTATTATCACATTAGTAGACGAATGTTACTTTTTTAAATCGAAAGATTTTACGTGGAACTTCACTCGTCAGTTTATAACGTTTCGTACACGTCGTGTAACTAATGTTTCTTAAAAACAAAACTGTGAATTGCCTTTTAGTGTTTGCTTATATATTTGCTTTTAAAAACTTCATTTTATTAAGTTGAACGAACAACCTTTAATAGTCAACTTTTGTGAATGGTCAATTATTCCAGAACCCGAATCATCAGATACTCCAATTCCTGTGAAATGTGGTGAAATATTTATGATAAACGAAGGTAACTGAGTGAAAAACTGTTGAATTTCTTTCATCCAAAATGTTATTGAACCATGTTTTGTTCTCTAAAGTTGTCAAAATATTAGTTTGAAAGTTAAAGAAAACATCGTCTAGACGTTTCGTAAAGGTGATAAAAAATGGTTGTACACTGAAACAAACTGAATGCATTTATGAGTGTTAACCGCTGCATGACGAATAAGCTGTCTGAAAGATAAGTGCTTGGCGTGGGACTTGAGAGTTTTATAGGTATCATTACCAAGGTTTGATTTGATAATTTCGAATAAGTTGAGCATTGGGTAGATTGTTATAAATAAATAATATATTTGTAATATCTCAATGAGTAAGAAAATTAGATTTTCTGACGTTTCGTTACTCAGTGTAAGTCACTTCTTCAGAGAATAAATAACCAAATTAAAATTAATCCAAGCTTAAATAGTACAACGGAACAATAATAATAATATGTGATCAATCAAAAACTGATCTGAACAAGTTAATGTCTTGTCATTTCTGTCAAGGTGATTCATAGGTGATATGATGTAAATTTGTGTGTGTATGTATATGTGCATTGTTTAAGAATGAAAAATTGTGTGACCTTTATGGTGAGAAAGGACAGAGTTTAATTTGTAATATGGTAGTGTGGATTGTAAATATGATCAGACTGAATGGCTAAGATAGATAGTCCAAGCAGGATATATGGTAAGGCCTTCCTTTCTATTGAGAGAAGTAGGATTAAGCATTATATGGAACGCTTCAGCTACCCTCCTTTCTTTGTAGTTGGAAAAGCCTTTTTGCAATATTTTGATGTTTTTAAAATCAATTCGGTGGTTGCTAAAAATGGCATGAACTGCTATTGCCGATTTAATTTGAAGTTTATCCAATTCTACGGGATTGTTAGGTGGTTTCTTTGTGTACCTAATATGTTCCTTGGCTCTAGTCAAGATTTCTCGAGATGACTCTCCAATATAGAAGGCATCACATCGATACAACCTAATTTGTAAATGTAGTTCTGTGTGGATATGAAATGGTTTTTTTTATTTTAAGCGAACTAAAGTATTTCGAAGTGTGTTCGTTGTTTTGTAATATACTTTAATTCTGTGTTGTTTTAAGATTCTTTAGAAAATTAAAAAATTCTAAAACATCGAAGGAAGATGGTTTTATTTCACACATGTTGACTTGGTAATCAGTACTATAGTTCATAGTGAAACTTAAAATAAAATAATGAAACACATTTTGAAATGACAGAGATTTTAGAAGTGTTGTTTCCTCTAAACTACATGGTTCGGTCGTAAAGTTTTCATAGTCTTTCTGGTTAAGATCATAATCACATACATCAAATGGAACATATTTACTTTATTACAGTAATTTTAGGAATTAAATACTAATTGTGTATTTTCCTTGATTGAAATCATGAGTCATTGAAGCTAGACCACCATGGAAAACCTGGAAGCACTGGACGGCCGTTTCATCATAGTATGGGACTCCTCAACAGTGAGTTACCAGTGGAGTTCAACCAGGTCTGTTGTGAGATATCAACTCACTGAAGACAATGGTGTACGGTGGCGCAAATTCGTGGATTGGTTGAAGTTATACATTAACACTGTAGGATGCTGGCCGGCTCAGTGGTCTAGTTGGTTAAGCACCTGGCGCGGGACTGGTAGGTCCTGGGTTCGAATCTTGTGGGGTGCGGGATCGTAGATGCGCACTGCTGAGGAGTCCCATACTAAGATGAAACGGCCGTCCAGTGCTTTCAGGTTTTCCATGATGGTCTAGCTTCAATTGACTCATGATTTCAATCAGTGAAATTTCTAAAATCTCCACAAAACCCCTTCTGATATTTTCTTTGAGTTCAGGGTCAATCTTGAAATGTCTAAGTATTAATAATATAAAGTTACTCAGTAATAATTATTTTAAACTTTGTCAATATTTTATATTCTTTATAGTGAATGCTATCACATTAGCTTTCAATCCGAAAGTATTTATTGAGCATAATTTTAATGAATCATTGAAAAATGATCAAATACATAATGAAGAAATAATTTATTGCCAATCTATACACAATGATAATCGTTATCAACTTATTTGGCTTGGTTTAAATTATTTAGAAAATGAAAAATCTTTAACAACAATTGAATCTTATAGTGTAAAATATTCTAATAATCCTATACGTCCAAAATTATTAAAATCATCTAATAAATATGGAAGTGAACAACAAGTATTTAAATCAATTGGTTATTTCATTAAACCAATTAAAACAAATAAAAAAATTAATCATGAAGTTGATTGGATAAAAAATTTAACACCAGAAACTTTAATGGAATTAAAAAATTCTAGATCAACTATGAATGATGATGATGATGATGCTGTTAGCGATCATGATATTGATTTATGTTCAAGTTCATTAAAATCATTTAAACTTTCCACAGATCAATCAAACTATGATCAAAAATCATCATTTAATTCAAATGAGAAAGTTCTGATTGAAGAGATAAACGAAACATCAGTGAATTCACATGATACAACATTAGGAATTATAAATTCAATTTCATGGTCCGCTAAAGTAATTAATTTTAATTTAACTAAACAATCAAATAAGGTGAATCAATTGAAATTAACTTTCTCATTACCCGGTATAAAGTCTGGGAAACAGTGCAACGTTGATTTAACAATAGTGAGTTAAATAAAGAACATTCTGATAAATTACGATAATATAAATCTTCAGAAATAGTATTTTATTTAAATGAATCCGAAAACATGAGATACTTTACTCAAGTTAGTAGTCTAAAATTTAGCATGCTGAGCATAAGAATTATAGTTCGTAGATTCTATCTCATGGTCGGGCAGTACAAAATTAACATTAATCAACAGTACACTGTATCGTTTTTGAGTGACTTTTCAACCGCAAATCTATCTCTAAAATTGAAATAGTCTGCATAAACCATCTAAATAGAAAATTTTTAAACCAGGAAAATGAAATTTGCCAAAGAATACTAATACTAGTTGAAAATCTAATAAGAGCTCAGTTATAATGTGAAATTGTTTTGTTTTGAGTGCGATTTCATCAGTCAATGCAAATTTTGGACCTTAATTTGGAACTGAATCCAAGAGTTTCACTTCATTACCTACCAAGTTAAAATCAATTGGTTGACTTTTTTGAAACTTTAATTGGTTGATAAATTAACACAAACGTCAACCAATTGACTAATGAGCATTTATTCTCATTTCGGACCTGATTCACACTTAGTACGTATTATTTTATGGCTGTAAGAAAATATGCAAAATGATTTCTTTTCATCATAAAATTTTCATTAAACCATTGTATTTTAATCTGAAAAATAAAACATTATTTTTGTATTTCAAAGGGATTCATTCAAATACCCCTCTGTTTATTACATGGGCTCTGAAAATGCAAATGTTAAGATGTGTAACAGCGAATCAGTTATTTATTACTCAGTATGAAGTTGTGGAGATTGTTGAGGTTTTAACTGAAATCATGAATCGATCAATGTTAGACCACGATTGGAAACCTGGAAGCACTGGACAGTCGTTTCGCCCAATTGCGTGACTCCTCGTCAGTACTTATCCACGATACCGCGCACGGGACTCAGAGCCAAGACCTTTGATCTCGCGCGTGAACGTTTAAACTCGAGACCACTGAGCCAGCACGAAGTAGTGATAATGCCTAACTTCAACCAATCTACAATATTGTCTTCGGTGAGTAACTGTCTCACACTCGACACGGTTATTACCCATCTTAAAATACTGATGTGATTAAATCCGATTCAAAGCCAGAATGCTGAAAAACTAAATGTTCATGCTTTCCTTAATCAATAGGCTATTTGCATTTAAGTACGGTTTTATGGAAAGAACTTTCCGCTTAGTGATGTTTCATTCTTAAAGAAGTACGTGGCTGTGTAGAATTATGGTCTACTTCGTTATTAGTACTGTTTTAATAGTAGATCTAATCATAAGATTGCAGATTTGTCATGATGTAACTACCTAATCTATAAGATCTTACGTGGAAGTCACGCCATTGTCTACAATGACTCACCGTATCATAACAATTACCAACATACGATAGAGAACACATTTAGGTTGGAGATATAACAATATACCTTATGTGAATAAAAGTGATGTTACATAAGTCCAACCACTCCTACAAATCCGAGCCATGCTATCCGATGAATTGAACTTAGAATGAATGTTTCCGCGTCCACCATTATTGACCTTCTCTTAGTATTACATGTTGAAAGTCTATTTTCCCAGTTATCTCACGTTCAGCTTCGAGGATTGAGGTTAGGATCCAATACCACTACAGTTGAAGTATACAAAAACAAAATAAGAAAGATTGTAGTTCAATCCCTCATGGACTCATTTATTTTAAACTGCTTTTCAGTTTGTCAGTGAATTATTATTTATTTAGTTTATTTCTCATACACACTTAATACATAGATTAAAGTTTATTTTAGTGACTACATAAAAAGTACTGCCAAATTTAATGCTAAAATAGTACTATTATAAAATTATTAAAATAATTACTGTTAGTCGATGAAATTGAACACTAATTTCCTTTAGATAGTAATAATAGTTCGTATACAGGAAATGGCATAATTTGTATTTTAGTAGAGCAGGGTGAATGAGTTCTGTGTGCTAATTAACATCAATAACATCTAATAGCAATACTAGTACATTATATCAGCAATTTAAGACCTGCTGAACATCTTTAATCTTTAAAAGTACCTTAGTTTCAATTATTCACACTAACTATTAAAGTAATCATTGTTCTGTTCATACACATATAAAGTTTTCAAAACTGTTAATATATATGAGCAAGGATGGATGGTGACTAACAGTGGAATCCAGGACGCGCGTTTCGTCCTATTTGGGACTCGTCAGCTGTACGAAACGTGCATCCTGGATTCCACTGCTAGCCACTATCCACAATTGCTTAAAAACCTTGTGACTTAAGGCTAAATCGAGGCAATATGTATAGTATGCACATATGCCAATAAGAGACTGATCAATTACAGTCCTAAATAACAATGGGAAGATACGAGTAAAACAACACTAAGTGAATGTTAATACATATATTTACATATTCCAATTTAAACACTAAAATAAAATTAAAATTCGGTAAAGAAATCTCTTGGCAACGAATTGTTGCACTATAGTATATCTGTATGTAATTTTAAGTATAACTATAAATATACATCTACCATATGTATAATTATTCAATATTATTTTATTAATCGGCCATATTTTATTTAAAAATTAAAATTCTATTAGCTGTCACATGGAATTCATTGCATTTTGATAAACGATTTCATCATTTAATTATAAATGGAAAGTAGTAACAATTTATAGTCATCTTAAATGCAAAGTTTAAACGAGTAAAATGTTTCTATGGATTATGACTTACTGAATAAACAGTTACACATTAATCCGTGCATAAGAACAAATTCTGTAATAAACGTTTCGCATATTTAAGTTTGTGTTTTTATGATGATATTTACTTCAGTAATGATTGTGTAATCCATTTGACATAATAACATAACTGAAAGAAATAAAGTACCCAGTTTGGTGGTCCAATCCTATATTACTCAATGCTAATGGATTGGATTCTATATACGGTTGGGGGAGGGTTGACAGTGGCATCGATTCTTGAATAAGAACTAAATGGTTCTCGAGTTTCCCTAGATTCCACTGATTCTGTAACTGGTGAAAATTCCCTTCACGTAATTAAATGTCTTCATGAAATCATTGAGTGAAGAACCCACCTGATACAGATAATCAAACCTATATGCTGTGCTCAAGCGAATCATGGCTAATCTGTTTGAAGAATATGAGAATGCTGTGGGCCGAATATTTAAAGAAACAGTCATTGAACTACCAACAGACAAATCGATAAGAATAGTGGGAAATCGAAAGCAGTGAGAATGGTACAACAATATAGCAAATAATATGATTCTACAATTAATTATGAATGGCTTAAATTTCAAAGAATATAAAATGAATCTTTGACTCAATGATATATCGATTTTCATCTATCATCTGTAAACATAGCAACGACTGATTTTTCTTGTTATCTCATAAACTACCTGGGCAATAATATTGATCTTTCTTTCGAAAAATTTGTTTCATTAGGAATTATTTCATACATTAATAACTAGATATGAAACGTACGATCTTTTTTCAATATCTGATTTTTTTATTATTTATCTTCTAAAATATAAAATTTTATAGAATCGAGTTAAATTGGAAGTTATGGATTCATCCGTTGGATTTCATCCGTTAGATCTTCGTTTACCTTGTAAAATTGAAACTGATTTAGCAGAAGCAAAATTCAATTCGAAAAAAGAAAAACTCATTATACTTGTTCCAATAATTTCATCTCCATGATTAATTTTATATGTCAACCGTTACGTAATATATATAATGAAATGTAAATATAGTAAAAATGCTTAATGACCAATGTTGTTTATTATACAGTAATGGAAGCTATTATATATATTCATTAATTTTCAAGTGTAACTTGACTTAATCTATCCGACTTTCAAAGTGATCATTTAAATAAATGACTTGATATAATGGTACAGGAAGTTTTACGTTCGCATATATGAACTCCCTTTATAATACCCCGTTGAAGTATCTGAAAAGCAATCTTCCGCTTTTTTCATACTTGCATTATGTGTGCTACTGGTAATATGAAGACGGAATGTAAATTCATCTCAACTTCAGCTATATGATTTAAAGAGAAGGTGGTTCTTGTTAGGAGAGCTTTAAAAGTTTCCCAAACAATTCAAAAAAGCTAAAAATTTATTCTATTTATAATAGCAAATCAATCAACTTGAGGAACGCAAAATAGTGAATTCAACGGCAATATAATGGTGCTGTGTCGGTTACTATGTAAAACCCACATAACTTATTTTAACTTCTGGACAGGCCAATTTATTCATTTACGTTTTGACCATGGTAATTATTCACTTGTCAACCCTGACTTTTTTATATGAGCGTATGTGTGTGCACTTCTTATCCTACTCATCACATGTCTGTTGCTTGTTTTTTTGTGACTATAAATATTGATCAACGCTTGATTAAATGAATTTGGCTTACACGCATCTTCCATCGCGCGTCATTTCGCTTCGCTCTCTTTTCTTCTCTTTATTCCTCTGATTATCTGTTTAGATCAATGATCATGCAAAATATATGTATTCGAAATCCTTTCTCGTATTTGACTTATCTGATTCCGTTATTCCCTAGCGCGATTCAAGTCGATAATAATATACGAGAGTAGTCAGGATGTATATTTCAACAGCAATCATTCAATAACGATCATTTGTCCGCTCTAACTGAAGTCAGATCCTGGGTCACTATGATTGCCTAATATCAAAAATAAACCGTCAGTAAACGAGAACTCAGGTAGGGAGAACCAATTTATTGTTTCATGCAACGCTACACAGTCCCTTTGTAAAATATGAAAACTATAAATTAATACATTATTTGCACATCTTCCTTCAATTTTCCTTTACATACTTCATGATTCTTCCAATTCTGTTGTTTTTGCGATTCCTCTCTGTTTCCCTCCCTGTTTTCTTCAATTCAATTTTCTGTTGACAGGCGTTTCACTTTTAAGTGATGCTACATACTACTTACATCTCTCTGTATAAGTGCCATCCATCAAACTCATATCACGTTTAAACGGTCGTCCCTTCACTTTTTCTGCTCGTTGTGCCGCCATTGTCGCAGTCTGTGCTAGGCTCCCCATCAAAACATCTGGCACGCTGACCTCTGTAGCTCCGTCGACCTACCGGGCCATCTAACTCTGATGTCCACCCAGCACCCGAACATCCGACGTGTTCTACCCATTAACAGCGACTGCCACATCAACTAACGACCCCTCTCCCGGCATCGCAACGGCGTTCCTAGAACTGACTCTGCTCCGCCTCTTTTTAGGCAGCGACAGCAAATGTAGGGAACAAAAACTTTGTGGGGATATTCAAATGAGTGTTTATTGAAAAATCATACAGTGGCTTAGTAAAATAAGAAACTCACACATTAAATATATCATTTGGACATTTTGCCGTTGTCGTTTACATACTCCATTACCCGTGCAACTCTGTTGTTATTTCGATCGTACTCCAATTTCCGTCCTCTTTTCATTCCAATCTTGTGTTACTAGGCATTCCACTTGCTACATACTACTTATATCGGTCAGCATATACCACAAACTAGTTCTGGGTTTTTATGTTATCCAATAAAGTGACCACAACTGCATGAAAAGTAAACCTGATTAATATAATAAGGAAGGCTATGATAGATATCCCGCCAATCTGACTTTAGTAAACTGGAACTCTGCTTAGATGCAGCATTTTCTATGCCATAGTAAAGAGTTTAGTTAATTTTAAATTTAAGGCATTAATCTAAGGCTTATAAGGTAATTCAAATGATTGGTGAAGGGTTTTCGACCAAAACGTATGAATACATAACCAAGAGGCTCCAATGTAATCAGACATTCAACTCTTAGGAATTAATATAGTGGGTTTTTGGAGATAAATAAATGTTAGTGATATCCCAAACAAACATGAGTTAGACAATCATTGAAAAACAGGAATCGTGATACAACTGTGAATGCTAAATCTCTAGAGCATTGATCTGGCATCCAATATTCTGCATGACTATCTTTATTTAAACGGAAAAACAACATCGGAAGCTGCTTAGAAAATATATCGCAATGTTGGTAGTGATTACTTCAACACTCAATGAGAAGTGAGTGTAAAGGCTGTGAAAAAAGTTTATAAACTCTTTATAACCTAAAGCAAATACCTAAAGAATTATGGATTTGCTTGTATTTCCTTTTATTGATTTACTTTGACAGTTATTGTTTCATCTTCCTTTTTTATCACATAACATTCTTAGATAAAATTGCATAGGTTAAAATAACTACGAGCTACGAGCAATATTGTGGCATTCAGTAAAGGATTATTTATCCCAAGAGAGATTGATCCAATTCAATCTTGAATATTAACAACCAGAAATAGTAATATACACTGAAATTGTACTCCGTATGTTTAACAGAATTTCATGTTGTTTTTAATAAAAACAAAAAAAACTTTGGTACCAAATAGATGAAAGGTGATTAGCAGGACGAACATTTCATCCTATTTTGGAATTGTCAGCTGGATTTACGTGTATCTTACAACTGATGTTTACTCTGACACCATCGCATTATCCTTTAAACCGCTGAATTCAAAATCCCACTAATTTATTATTATTATTCCATTATTGATATTTTTTACTGAAATTTGATCATTTTTGGTTGGCATATTAGCATCTTGTGAGGAATGCCTACATAAAGCCCATATTTCAGCCATGACTGATAAAATTTCAGTCAGAAATATCAACAACGGGATCATTCAAACCATTACAAATTAAAAAGCTTATCATCATTATCACAAATTAATTCAGAAGAAATACATATTTAGTATAATAATAATTACTGTCACATGATTACTGTACTTTAATGAAGTTTAGTGAGAGCGTGATTATATTTCACCAAGCCAATGTCTTATTATTATTATTATTATTATTATTATTATTACCATTACTATTATACAATATTAAAATAAAATAATTAAGAGATTATCAAGTAAAACTACTTGGATGATTAAATCATAACACCATCATTTTTCATTTTTTCGAACATTAAACAACAGGACATCAGACTAAAATGAACACAATATGAGTTATACTCCATAATCCAATCCTATATTTATTGAAATAGTTGCTATCATGTGAACAAGATATTACAATTTCGGAAGTGCATTCTGTATCTTGCTACACACAATAGATATTATTCGAGTGTCATGAATTAAGCTTTTTAATGAAAGGAAGATATTGTACAATGTGTTTATTTGTATAGATGCTAAAATATCTTACATCTTGATATAATTTGTAAAGAATAATGAAAGCCAAGAAGGGAGTAAACATTCAATAATCATTTCAGATCATTGAGAGAATTTTTAGTTTTCAAATATGGATGTTCATTGTACTGTAACCAATACGTGAGTGGGAACACCAATCTAATCAGGCCGAATAGTAACTTTAAGTAAAATGTCACCTACATAGGAATCCATAGTAATTGTTCCATGTATGTATGATAATGAATGAGAAGGTGAACTAAATGAATGTGATATGAACATTTACTTTTGAAAGTGAATTCCAAATTTTCTATATAAATAACATGGGTGCCTATAAATTATAAATTTAATGATTATTTACAAGGAATGTGAATACACTAAGTTAATATTCGTTCATATTATTCCATATTCAAATTCATTCACATTTTATAAGACTGATTATGTCATTTCTTAAAATGGTGGACACCTGAAGGTTTGCTCTGTAGATATAAATTTTTAGACATTACCATAGAAAGTTGTATAGATCCACATAAAGTAGTATAGAAATAAACTTAGTAAACTATTATGGACGATTAAGATTATTGTATTCATACTATCATACTTCTATAAAACATTCTTCAAGTATATGAAAGTAGGTGTTCGCTTCTTGATTCACCTGAATTACGACAGAAAGTTTGGAAATGAATGTTATTAGTTCTATAATAAAATGTTACATGATATTTATAGCTGACAGTTGAATGTTCACTTGAGCATATATGTTTTGGGACTGGGAGTGGAATTCAGGACAGGTATTTTATCAAATTTGTAACTCTGCTGTGAGAAGTATCAGAATGTTACTGTTGATCACACTGAGGACACACATATATCAATAGGGACTGATCTATTTCAGTCTTGAATATGAACAAAGCGGAATATACAAACACTTAGTATAAAGGTCACTTCAGATATAAGTTTACATATATGTACAAAAGTAAGCATCTAATGCAGAAGGCATGGATTGGCAAAGTGAGGTCTGCATTCCTACAGTTGTCTACAGTAGATACTCAATATCCGTTGATCAAATACCATCATTAACAACCTACTATGGATGAGAACAAACCAGCTATCAGATGAAGAAGAAAAGAATGAATGGCAACTGGAAAACAAGAGGATAGGATTGGCCAGGACGAAGTTAGATGGAGAATGATAAGGGTGGGGCGGTCTGTGCTTCTTTAAGGTGAAGTCGTTTATGCTGCACAAAATTACATTTGATTTGATGACAAATACTGATCATTTTACCATGAAGGTCACATATCTTGTGTTGATACTAAGTGAAATTTTCGCTAAATATGAAAATATTGAATTTTGAACTTTGGGAAACAATATGTTTTAACCTGTAAATATATTTTAATTAAATTGGTGTTTGAATACTGTGTTTATTTATCCACTCACTTTTATAGCCACTTCATGTCATAGATCAACGTTATAATATTCATAGTTTACCATATTGACTATAGCGTGGTCATAAGTGTTTAAATATGTTCAAGCTAAACAAACGGCTTTCCTGGAAAGTTCCACAGTTTTTCTATAATGACTGGTGGGAAAACCATAATATTTTATAATTGATTTTACAGATTGCACCTTTACACTAAGAGTATTTGAATATTAAATTAATTGAACCTTTGAGTTTACACAAAAACAAATTTAATTTGCTCATCGTACCACAACTAAGGTAGAGTAAACTGAGGGGATATACACCTGAATAAATTTTAAAATTGTGTATAGGTAATTCTTGAGTAGTTAGGTTTATTATTATTATTATTACTCCAGACAATAAGATACTTGTTAAGTTACCTATATAATTATCCGCTGATTGTTATCACTTTCGAATAAGAACCTCTTTTCCTGGTTAGACTGTCAAAAAATTCGATTACTTAGATATTTTTTCAGACGGCCATTTTATTTTTTATTACAGATCTTAACTACTTTAAAATGAGATAAATAGTATAAATAACATTTTAAAATTGATTAATAACTTCTATGCTAATCAAATTTAGTATTTTCGATAACAATATGACCAACTCATGGGTATTTTCAACAGAGAATTTTTATGAACGAAGGAAGATAGAGGCTAGCAGTGAAATCCAGGACGTGAGCTTCGTCTTATTTGAGGCTCGTCAGCTAGATGTACATACATCCCAGGACTGATGTTCACTCCGGGACTCGAACCCAGTACCACTCACTTTAAAGCGCCATCGCGCTATCCACTCAGCTACTGGGCCCTGGTGGACGCCTGGTTGTGT